GTGGACGAGTGCGCGGGGGAATCCCAAGACCACGAGTCCTCTGGCAGCCGACACATGTCGGCGCACGTGGCATGGGATTGGGAGTTGCAGCTCCATTTGGGATGAGCATCGGTGAAAATGGTGATGAAGTTCTGTTGCGCATCGAAGAAGCATGCCAACGAGACGAGGGCCAATTGGAGGAACTGATTCCAACTGACGTCGCCGATGTGTTTCTCCACGACGTCATTGAGAGCGCAGAGGTGGTGCGGCGACGACGAGAGAGCCATGAGATTTGATGAACTTCCTGGTGACCTAAATTATATATGTTCCATTTTTCAACGTTTAATGTATTGCATGGTATGTATGTAGGGTATAGCTATGCTTTGAAAACGGGGAATTTTTCGTGGCAACTAATTTTGCGACGTTTGGTTGTTTATTATCTTTTGAAATTCTTTTGGTTGTTTTATTATCTTTTGAAATTGCATATTGTAGAGTACTCTAGGCGCTGCAAGAAATTCAACACCAGTAATTCAATAAAGTTATTACACCTAAAATGTTGACCCACCTAGTTTTATTTAATGGAAGATTTAGCCAATTGATTTTCATAGGCAATACCCAATTAGTAGTAACAATCGTCATTTATCTATTTAGCCTTCCTTCATATTCGATCTTATCACGGGGCTCGGGATCATGGACCCGGAACCGGCATAAACCTAGGCTCGTGCAGGTTTATGGCCCGGCGGGCTGGACCAGGCCCAACTGGGGTCTGGGCCCATCCAGAAAGAAAAAAAAGAAAAAAAAAATAAAAAATCTAACAAAATATGTTGTTTTTACGCCAGGGTCCAAAGCAACAAGGCCCTAGACCAGCCCGGTTAAAATCTGAGTCGGGCATAGACCCATGGTCAACGGGCTTGATCGAGCTAGGTCTGGGCCGAGTCTGTGCCGGGTAGGCGGGTCGGGCGGCCCGTGGCCATGTATACGGCCTTACCCATAAACTTTGTATGAGAATTAAGCTTACAGGTTGAATTGTAGAATTGTAGATATTAAGAGATTTATCAAGTGAGTAAATGAAAGCTTAGAGTGTGTATAGTGTAATTAACATTTTACTTTTCATATCTAATCATACCTTAATTTTCCACCATGTTGCCCGAAGATCTGCCCGGTTTTGCTGCTCAGGCCGCCCTATGGCCTGCTCGCCGGTTATCAACTGAGCTGCATTAAACACAGCTAATTACCTGAGCTAAATGAGGGGACCGCTTAACCGAGCTACTTGAAGAGCGGTTCAACCGAGCTAGAGCTATTCTAGGTGTTATATAACATTTAATTTTGGGTGTCGTCGTCGTCATTGGCTAAAAGAAGATAAGGGATTGGATCAATCAAAGAAGAAAAGGGAACACTGAATCCCCTTTATTGAATTTTGAGGTAAAAGGTATGTTGTTAACTTTTTATTGATGAAGATCTTATATATCAACAGAAGGGTATAATCGAGCTTCTACGTCGTCAATGGGAAGTGAAAATAGCTCATGGCTATCGGGAAGCCAATTTTGTTGCAGATTATCTCGCCTCTCTGGCGGCGAAGTGTCCGGGTGGTTTGCAGAGGTTGGAGAGCCCCCGTCGGGGTTGAACATGTGGCTGCATCACGATAGGATGCACGCGCCCTTCCTAGGAATGTTTTGATCTAGGCATTCTAGGTTTTGCCTCCATTTCTTGTACCAAAAAATAAAAATAAATAAAAAATAAATAAAAAAATACCAACTTTTGGTTAGCAAAAGGAGTTTGTGTCATTCTAACACTAATTGTTTGATTTTCATACTGTCAAACCTCATTTTAACTAGAAATATGCAAATTCATAAGGAAAAAAATAAAAAAATACAACCAAATGATCATTCCAGTTAACCTCTCAAATTAGACACAGTAGAAGGCAAAAGAAAAAGTCATAACTCTAAAAATACAATTTTAATATTAAATGCTTCATTTTTTATTTTTATTTTTTCTCATAGAAAATTATAATTTGATTGTCACACCCTCTCTCCAATCCGCAAAAAAAAAAAAAAAACTATACAAAACTTCGGTACCTAAGAACAACATCTTGTAACAATACCTCAAACTGTCTTATAAAAACTAACATAAACAGAGTCAAGTAAGGTCCGAAACTCGGCGACTGCTTAATTTTGCTCGTTTTCGTGCTCGGGAATTCGCTCGATTTCAAGGATAGGTATTAAATATATATTTGTATTTTTAGTTGTTAAAATTGTAATAGCACTTTTACATTCCTACAGCACTTTTAGTTATATTAGCCTTAGTATAAATAGCATATTAGGGTTGAGACTATTTCACTTTTACCTTTTTCTTCTTCAGACGATCTGTATTCTCTCTCTCTCTAAACTCTCCTCTCTGTAATCTTTCACCTTGATTCAGTTCATCAATGGAGTTTTACTTTTAGTTTTTCATACATTTTATATCATAATATGGTATCAGTTTTCAGGTTCTTCGATCGATTCTGATTTTTCGCTGTTTTTTACTGATTTTTGGTTCAATTTCTCGAACCCTACTTTGCTATTCCTCTATTTCTCGGCTCAATCGGTTTTGATCTGCGCCGATCTGGTCTCGTTCTACTTAGATCTACCAGATTTGTTCCGATCTTTTCCGATTTGTCCACTTTTCCTTTGTTTTCTGGTTCCGATCTGGTTCGATTTGCGATGACTCAACCTACTTACGATCCGACTTCATCGTATTACCTGCATGCTAGTGACAACCCCGGTGCCGTCATAGTCGCCGATCTGTTCACCGGGGACAACTACATGGCTTGGTCAAGAGCTGTTCTAATGGCTCTGAGCGTTAAAAACAAGGTGTCATTTGTCGATGGCTCTCTGGTAAAACCTAACCCTACTACTCATCCTCTTGAACATGTTGCTTGGATCCGTGCTAATAACTTGGTGCTTTCTTGGATTCTCAATTCGATATCTAAAGATATTCGTCAATCTCTTTTATTCTTTTCTGATGCTCAACATGTCTGGGATGAACTGAAATCTCGCTATGCTCTCAGTAGTGGTCCTAGGGTTTTTCAACTTGAAAAATCGTTGAGTACTATTGATCAAGGTTCTCAGTCTATTACTCAATATTACACTACTTTTAAATCGCTCTGGGATGAGTACATTACATATAGACCTGTTCTGAAATGTGTTTGTGGTGCTATGAGCCGTTGTTCATGTGATATATTTGATTCTCTGTCTGTCACCCAACACAATGATTCTGTGATGAAATTTTTGATTGGTTTGAATGATTCATACTCTGCTTTGAGAAGCCATTTTTTACTTTCATCACCTTTGCCTTCACTGTCCAAAGTGTACTCTCTCCTATTACAAGAAGAAAGTCAAAGGTCTTTGCAAAATACTTCCAAATCCTTTGAACCTGCAGTCATGTTAGCCAAAACTTCAAAGTTTTTCAAAAATCCTACTCAACCTACTTCCAACTCATTCAAAGACAAAAAGAAGTCTAAGTGTGGTCATTGTGGCTATAATCATCCAACTGAGAAATGCTACCAAGTTATTGGCTATCCCTCCAACTGGATTGGCCCCAAAGGCCCCAGGATTCATCCTTCTCTTCAAAACAACAACCCACAGTCCTCTGTTAACTTCACAGCCACTCAACAACCTTCTGTTCCCTACACTCAACAACCTTCTGTTACCAACACTCAACAGCCTTCTGCTCCCTACACTCAAGTCTCTAAACCTCATATCCCAAATGACAATCCCAACTTCACTGACAAGTTGTTTGCTGAATTTCTAGAATACAAGTCTTCTTATGATACTAAACAGGGAAAGGCTCAGGCTGAGTCCAACCCTATGGCTGCCACTGTTCACATAGAACAGCAAGGTATCTATTCCCTTAACTGTAATTCAAGTTCTTCATTTACTAAAAACACTTGGATTTTGGATACTGGAGCTACTGACCATATGGTCTGTGATATATCTTTATTTACT